CCTTTCCCTCTGTCCGTGCCATGCCGACCCCCTCCGTGACTCTCAGCGGGTCGGGCTGAGCAAGGCGGGGCAAGGCTGTCCCTGAGGCTGACTGAGCTAGGGTGTGTCCACAGTCCAGTGCTCTGGACCGGCGGCAAACAACTCCGCCAAACATTGCGCACGGTTTGTTACGCTCACGTCAGTTTGAGGGCCGCCGGTCTACGCTGCTGTGATGCAACGATTCTGTACATGTCCTGGCAGATTATGGTGGCGTTATCTCGTTGAGCAAGACGGGAGTCGTTCTTTCTGACCTTTCCACATTGTCAGGAGCACGGTATCAGATTAACTACTGTGAACTTTGGACTTTCAGAGGCAGCAGACAGGATTTTTCTGTTCGTGGCGTGGTGTTGGGTAAGGTGACGGACTGTTGTTAGATTAAAATTTTTACATTGAGCTGGTGAACGCGACGCGACGCGAAATTTTACTATTTATTTTTACCACGTGGATGTGGAAATTTTACCACGTGGACGCGAAATTTTACTATACTGGTGATTTTGTAAACTCTTGTCAACCCTGTCAACCCAGCTATATCGCCTGCTAGTTCTAAAGAATTATAAAAGTTCTAGGTATTGGGTATCATATGAAAACTGCATTCGAAGTTTACTCGTTGATGTTCCTTATGCACATGTTGCACTGCATACATGCACATTGCAAAATTATTGTAGATTTATTGGGTGAAGCCGTTATAAAGCGCGTTGGTTTAAAACGTCAAGGCAGCAATAAAAAGACGAGACTCTTAAATGTCAACTGATAAGGTCGCAAAGAATTTGACTGTTGCTGACGCCAAACGTTCCGGTGCAGAACTAACCAGTTAGTTGTCCTGTCAAATTGAAAAACAACAAATTTATTAACCTTCGTCCCAGTGGGGGGCATATGTTACCACCCTGTCGCGTTTTTTGCGTGTAAATAAAAAACCGCGGCGCGTAGCGCCGCGCCGCTTGGGGTAGCTTTTTGTACATCAATTTTGGACAATGTGTGAAATTTTTGACCCCAGGTCATGTCAGGTCAGGTCACCAGGTCAAGTTAACTGACCAAGCCTAAAAAAAGTTTGCAATCATGTCCAGCCTGCAGTGTTTGTCAGAAAGGTTTCAAACTTGGTGGATTGCATGATGTTATGGACACCTACAATTTGTTTATCTCGGATTTTTTATATCTGTGACCTAAGGTCAGGTCAGTGTCGTGACCTTACCATTATAAGGCAATGGAGAAAAATGAAAATGCCTCTAGATCCGTGTGTACGCATAGGAACAGTCCAAATATTTCAGAATCACAATGATTTGGACCACCCGTGATGACCAAGGTGTCATTTTTGCTGATAGCCTCTAGAAAGGTCATCCGAGGTCATTTGAGGCTACAAACAGATTTTTGCCAATAACTCTCGATTGGAAAGAGATAGAACGCTGGGTTCTTAGAAATATAATGACATTTGGCAAATTTTGACCTTTGATGACCTCCAGTGACCCCAATATTGTTCTTAGATGAAAATGACTTAAGTACTTTCAAACGTACGCATTGAGAGCTATCGACTGCTTTTTACCGCGTCTTCCTAGCCCTCTTAGTTTTTGAGCTAGAGGTGGGTGATAACATATGCCCCCCCCCCCCCCCACTAGGGCGAAGTTGGCTGAGACCGCCACTGGGGCGCGGGTTAAAATAAGAAAAGGCCTTTATTAGAAGTGCTTAAGTTCCCCAACGCTGACGGTAAGTGACGCAGGTCATCGTTTCTTCGGTTTCGCGGTAAAACATTTCAATTGTCGTTTATTAGGTGCATTGGTATATTTATGTGTAGTTTTCCCTTAATAATTAAGTACAAAATTAATGGCCTATAATGCACGTTCAAAATTATCAAAAAGTCATAGCTATAAGGTCACGCTGTCAGTCTTACTCTTATTGCACGACCCCATCATATCAGCCGGATCACTCCCTATTCTGTCGGTATGGTTTGAATGGCAAGCCGCACGTTTCTCCGGTAAATTGATCAAATGAGCATCGTGGTAACAGCTGGAACGAGCGTATCATTTGCCAGTGTCCATGTTTTCCTTTAGTTACAGTGGCTATCGCTGCTGTCGTGTGCTCGACTCCCCATTTTCCGGATTGGAGCTATACGATTGAGAACCGAAGGATCAGAGCCGCAATGCTGAGGACTGCTTTGCTGAGGATTGCTTTGCTGAGGACTGCGGCTCATTCTCACCGTAACATGGAAATGGTTGCTGGATGCAGATGTAAGCGTGATCTTTTTTTCGATGTTGTTTTCTCCTCTGTCTTGCTTTGCCCCGTTTATGAAGTTAAAGCACATTGAATCATCTTTATTTAGCCTATGGTATAACCACTAAGTTACAATTTTTCCGCTACAGGACAATTACCTTAATAAGATTAAAGCTGTCCCACAATATGTGATTAAGAAACAGGATGACTGAAATGGTAGAGGACTTATGTGCTTACCCAAAGCTTCATCAGCAAACATGCAGCTCGAGCTCCTGCTCAGAATCGCAAGCGGTATATCGTGTTTCCTTACAACTCGACACTCTCAGAGCTGTTCGTGTTTGGTGCCTGCAGCTGGCTATCGATCTTACCCTTTTGTGATCAGTGGTCAGGACTAGCTGTTACTGGTTCCAAGTAAAAGATAATTGTGATTAAGTTGGAGCTAGAACAGTCAACAGAGTTTTGTAGCGTAGCGTTGCAGCATTTTTTTTTAGGGGAGGGGGTCTGTGAGATCCTGCCTCGTATGCTGTGAGATGTTTCATGCATTCGTTGTGTTCAACACTGACTAACACGGGCACATGAAGGATTATTGATCAGTGACCATATAGATGTTTCTTTATCCGACCTTGTTCTGGTGATCAATGGTGCTCCTGAGTCCTGGCCATGGCAACACCGCCACCGCCTGCACCGATGCAAATGTCTCCGACTCTCCGGCCAACTTTGCATGATAGGATGCTCAAGAGCCTTGATGATTCAGCGAGTGACTTGGATCCTGGTTGTTGTAGGCATTTGCCACTTTTTTTTTGCTACGTGAACGCGAATATAGCTTAGTTGTGCCCGTCACACTTTCACCGTCATTGGAGACGTTCAGCATTTGCATGCAAGCTACACGATCAAAGGTGAATGATTCAACATGTATTGTAAGTATACACGATCAAAGGCGAATGATTCAACATTTATTGTAAGTATGTACTTTGCGCACGTAGCAAGATGAGGTGCTCCTGGCTTCTCAACGGGTGCTCCCAACGGGTGCTCCTGGCTTCTCAAGGAGCAAGCGGTGCCAGAGCAGCCTGGAAATTATCGCCATTAGAAGATCATTATTTGTTTTCGCACAACCAATTTAGCGAAGCAGAAGCAAGCTGTCGGCTTTACGTAATCCGTAGCGTTGTAGGCGTGCAGTTATGTACAGCGACGATGCCTCGCGTTAGTATACCGGGTGGCCCAGAAAAAAACGTTCCGAACTTTGGAGGCCTATATATCAAATTCGAGTACAAATAACGAGCCAAAATTTTCATCAAGATTGTGTCATTTCTTTGCGCATTGGCATGCCAAATTATTACACTATACCATCATTTTCAAGCTGGGAATCTTGAGTTGAATTAAGCAAGACGTTTTTGCTTTTTTTGCCGATGTCAAACAATAGTGATGATTGGGTTATGTTATAAAAAAAGAATAAAAAATAGAGCACGTGAATGAGACCAACACGTATGTTCTTATTTTAAATATTTTTGTCTCACATATGTGCCAAATATTCAAATACTGAGCCAAAATGGTGCTCATGGATGCCATTCGTTTCAACACCAAATCATGTTTCAAGCAGGAGTGGCACGGTGCATGGATTACTGCTGATTACCCTCCTTTCAGTAGATCAAACAGTAAATCGACCGGATAAGGAAAACAAACTAAAGCAGACTGGTTCCTGTGCCAGACAACCACAGAATAGCTTATGAAAAACAACATTGCCAGCAGATGACAAAAAAAAAAACTGGTTGAAAAGCTACCTTTTCCCAGGAATGTCACCCAGGAAAGCATTTGAGCCACAAGATGGTTAGAAAACTGGAAACTTCTTCCGATGCCGCTGGCACAGAGCCATCGCGGTTGTCTGAGGGAATGTGTCATCCTGAGACCCGAACCATCAATGAGACTAGCTGCCAGTAGAAGTCATGGCTCTAGGCCGCGGTGCCGCGGGGTGAAAATGACCCGTTCACTTACATTTTTTTGGTAAACATCGGAGCAAAAAGGTAATTTTTACATGGCATGCTTGAAACACGAACCGTTTAAAAAGTAATTTACCGAACACCATGAAAATCACACCATTTACTGAAAATGTGTGCCGCATTGACTATGCGAAGTTTCAATGTTGTATCTTTATCACTTTCTGAGAAATATTGATTTAAAGTTGGGAACGTTTTTTCTGGGCCACCCGGTATGTGCCGCCTTTTTAGCGTTTTTTTTTTTTTTTACTTTGTGTACTAGTGTAGGTATTCTGTACAATATCTTCCGCACCCCGGTCACATTAGTTCAGGTCGCCAGTTCAGGTTAAAGATCTCACGTGGCCCATGGTAAATGTGCCCACATAAAATAATACGCCTTACAGTTGATCTGCCAGCAGATTCATAGAACTGTTGTGGTCAGTCCCGAGCGCCGTTTCTTTCAATCCATGCACGAACTGAGGTCGGCTGAAAGTAAACTGGCCGGGTCGGGTTCCTGGAACCACAGTCGGCGTACTCTACCCGAAGTGCCCCCGCTTTGGACCTCACCGGCTGGTGGTGATCTACGATCGGCCACGGTTTGACGCCGGCTCGGCCCATGGTCTGCCCGGGCGTCACCTGTCTCAGCGAGTACCTAGGTAGGTACCGCCGCCGCGCCGCCGCCGCCGATGCGCCGCCAAGAATAGTTCCACCGAACTCGACGCGCCGGCGGCGCCGGCGGCGGCGGCGGCGCGCGGCAGACGAACGGCGCTGGTCAGTTGAGCCGCTGACGCTGCGCTGTGGGGTCGCCGCTGCGCCGACCGACCTCAGCTGTGACCTGTGACCTGTGACCAGGGATCTAGCCAGGAGCCGCACAGGTCAGTTGCAAAAACCATGTCAGGGGTACGCTGGAGCATGTGGTGGGCCATTATTTTTATTAGATAAGAAAATATTAGGGTGATTTGCAGTTTTCATTGGAACTACACGTATTATTTTGATTGCTAAAATTAACATGCATTCCATTTACATCTACCCATGTGTTACTTAGTATTTGGCGCAATCATTGAATGTTTTCATTTTTATTTTCATTGGCTACGCTTGATTATCTATGTACAATAATAATGTGAGGCAATATCTACAATTACAAATTTCCGTCTAACGGAAAAGCATTTGCTTAAAGCTGACCTTTTTGGCAAGAAATGCATACATAAAAATAACATGAAATATTGTGGGATAAAGTTTCTTTCATATTTTCTCTACTACTAAGGGCTTGCCCTTGCTGCATAAATTCATATTGCATTTAACTTTTCCATGCACTTTCAGACATTTGTAGAAATAAAACTCCTATACAAACGTTAGCGCAGCCAGCGTTCCTGCCATTTCTATTAGTTTTGTCAGCGTCTGGATTTACGAAAATATCTAGCGCCTTCTCGGTTAGTAAAAAGACCGACCATTGCATGGATATGCACCGTATTGATCTGCACTTGTCGGCACCACAAGCTGGCCTGTGGCTTGCAATTCGACCAGAAGGTTTGCGTGAAACGCCGTACAAAACCTTCGCCTTCTTCCACCGATATCGCATCAAATCATGGCAGGTGTTCGGCCCTTCACTGCTAAGGTGCGGTCTGTCCACAACAATTCAGCTTCCAAGCGCCAGCGGTGAAAATAATCGGCTTCGTACGGCTTCGACTGGCAGGCTCAAGGTGGAAATATTGTGCAACGTCTCTCACCAGTGCGGTGACGATTTCAGCCGTGCTTTCAACGATTGCTTTAAAGATTCTCTAACGCGATGCTTACATGGAGACAAATGAACGACTTGCAAAGAACGGTTAACAGCACTGTGTAGACTATCCAGAGCGGAAGGACCATGAGTAATGCTTGGAAGCGTCCTGCCAAGACAAAGTTCTGCAATCGAAAGTTTGGCTCTTAGGCTAAACGTTACTGAGCCAGGAAAGGAGTCCAACCGCCCTGCCAAGGACAGGGCTGCCCATCGCTACATTCACTGGTGGTGCCTCACTACAGTGGAACCGCGCTTAGCCGATATGGGTGCGGCTGGAAAGGGACGGTGGTGAAACAAACGGACTGTCACTTCCACAAGTTTCACTTGATGCCGATCTATCACTCACTTGCTGTTTTAATTAGCGCGATAAATTAAGGGATCGATATTGCATGAAGTGCGACGATTCTCGAAACGTATTATCAAGCCTTTATAATTGCTGTCATGGCAGCGGTGATGCAATGCTGGTCGTAAAATACTTGTGTGTGCAGTATACAGCTCAATACTTACTGCTCCAGTATTTGTGGTCGATTGCTCCCCATTCGCTTATTTTCGCTCTCAAAAACCACTAACAACGCTGATTGGGCTGCTGACATAGAAAACCCATTACCGTTTGGAGTCGGACATTGCGGATAGGGATCAGGGGGACGGGAGGACACTGGATGTGCTGAAGGTAATACTGAGGGCTAGAAACGTTAACAGGTAGCTGCCAGTTCACCTTCGAAAGTGATAGAGCCTCACGTATGCCTGCAAATGCATCGAATACATTTACTGAGGAAAGGTTGAAAAATCCGTTTCATCCTTGCAAAACCAGTATAAAGGCAATGGTAAGAAGCAAAATTACTTTAAGAAGACACTTCGCGAATCCACAACCTACCATGTAGCACCTAACCGGCGAGCCACAAGTGTCTCAAGGTCGCCCGGTCTGCCTTTACCAGAGTGCAGCGACTGGTCTATGGCTGACCCCTATGATGCCATCGATACCGCTAGCCAGGCGAGCCGACCGGCCAACTAGCGCCAACAAATACATTGCATCACCCGGACAGCGTTGGGCAATTACCTTACAAAGGGTCTTTACATGATACGTACATATTCTGCCCTGCATGAAAAGTACGTGGTTTATATTAAAGGCATTTACCTTGCTTTTTTACCATGCGTTTTGATCTAACACCGTTCTATGAAATCCTATTCGCATTTCCATTCCAACGTCTACTCTAACATTCATCATGACTAAGTCAATAGTCTTTAAAAAGGAAAACGATACCCTTACAACCTGCTAATTGATACCAGGCCGCGACTTTGACCCAAAAAATGGCGACCTCAGGCCCCTCAGTGATTGTAACCCCACGGAGCACCATTCACCAGGCTGGCTGTCACTGGCCAGGCGGAAAACGGCAACACTTGGCCGCGGCGTCGGCAGCCTTTCTATTAGGAAGACACTGGATGGCCAGTCGAAAACCTGATTTTGCACTGGCCTTGAAGGCGTCGGACCGCTCGCGCCGCGTAGAACCGCGGCCCAACGGTCATATAATCGTCCGTGTGCCCGTGTTCATGTTGCTGTCAACAGCAGCTAGCGTTGCTTATGCTGTCGACAGCAGTTGTGCTGATGGTCGAATTGTAATTTGTCCTCACATGGTGTTCACAACAAGCTGAAATTTCCCATGGTGTTGTGTCTCTCATGGTGTTAACTGTTTAGTGCCGGGCGGCCGCTAACAGCCGGCTTTCTGAACAGAGCGGCAGGTGGTCGGGATCGTAAACAATGCGCAGAGGCCTGATGAGCTCCTCATTACGCATTGAGTCATAAAGATCATGGCTGTATGTCGCGAGGGGCATGACGGACGTGCATTATCAAGCTTATGAGATCCTATAACAATTCATTCATCCGCATGAATATTTCGGACTGCTGAAAATAAGCTTGATGAACAGCTAATCCCGCGGCCTATGCTCCAATATCTGCCTTCCAATGTTCGGCACTATTTGCCGATCTTGGTGAAGTTCCAGCCGCTCCTGAGGATATAGTGGTAGGACCATCTTTAGAGTTCTTTCTGACCTTGGCTGGGACCATACCGTGCTGAAAATGCCCCCACCCGGCGGTCGAAGGGAGGGGTGACAGCCGGGACCACCCCGACCGGTCCCCTGACCAACCGTACCGCTAGACCCGTCCACCCGCTAACGACGCGCCGACCGGGAAAGGCCGACGAGCGGTCCTCCACAGGAAAACGGCCACACGACCGGCGCGGGGTGGCGACACGGCGACACGACCATCCTCGGAGCACTGAGCGGCTCTGAATGGCTCTGTCGGGTGTCCGAGCTGCTGTCCTGCTGCTGTCCACTGCTGTTCTTCTGCTGTCTACTGCTGTTCCTGCCTGGCGGGGCTATTTGATAGCCGCAATCAAATTATTGCTAACTTGGGGATGATGAACTGTTCATGTTAGCTAATTAATATTTGCTTTATATTTACTTGCCACGCTAATAAAAAGTCAAACATTTGCTTAGGCATAACGCTATCGAACACTTCGAAAGTGTCCGTGATGGACCAGGCGGTGGCTGCGAGCAGCAGCTAAGTGTCTAACCGGTCCAAATCCTCTTTCAAGTAATCCCCCACTGTCCTTGGCTCGCAGTTCCTGCTGGCGTACTTTCCGTTTCTTATTACCTCGGAGCCATATTCCACCTAGCTAACGAGCCCTCAGACAGACCGATTGGACCCGTCCGACAAAAGACCCACCCGTTCTTGGAATGTGACGTTTCCAGAGTAATTTTGCTCGCTCCATAATACGGGGGTCATAACTCTGGCCGATAGCTGTTAGGACACAATCGGCGGGCGGGTACAGGACAAAAACTGAGCCCCCGGCACAAAGACAGAGGCCGCCGACAGGGCTGGGGCTAGGGCCGGGGGGGGGAGGGAGGGCTGGCCACCGCGCTGGACGGGTTAGACTGTATGTAGGGGAGCCCTGAGTCACAGTAGGTCGATCGCTGGACGGGTTAGACTGTATGTATAGAGGAGCTCTGAATCAGAGCAGGGTGACCGCAGAACGGGGAGTACCGGGCCAGTTCACGCATTCCGTGCGGGTGTTCTCTATAATAGCCGTTTTCACGACGGCCATCTGGTACACATTTGGTGCACATCTGGTACAGATTAGGTGCAGATTTGGTCAAATCAGGTTCAATGTGTCTCTTAGCAGCTATCAGCTAGGGTTGCACTAATTGCTTATATGCCTGCTTTGTCATATTATCAGAGAGCATCATCGATTAAAACACTGAAATAAATTCATGAAATGAAGATATTTGCTATAAAAGAAATTAGGTGCAGATTTGGTCAAATCAGGTGCATTCGCCGGATGGCCCGTCGTGAAAACGGCCAATATGCACTCACAGCACATGAGAGTCATCAGGGGCCGTATTCACGTCGACCATTTTCATAAGAATTTTCTTAAGTTTGACCCACTTCTTAAGCAATTTTTTTTTATTCACGTGATCTCCGTCGATGAAAACTTAGAAAGTGTCGACGTGAATACCAAATTATACTTACGAAAGAAAATCGACTCACGAAGTCGACGTGAATACGGCCCCAGAGCGGTAATTACAATCAGTCTGCAGATAGAGAGACGGAGAGAGAAGGGGAGGGAGAGAGAGGAGAGAGTGGGGAGACAGTTCGAGGAGCAGCGGTTGTCCTCCCGACCTCGCTAACAGGGAGAGAGGGATTCTACTCGAGGTCACCGGTCCTGTTCAGACCCCGTGGACGGGACCGTGTCCTCTGGACACCGGTTCCTCGGCTGAAGTGTGCCTGTCGCTGCTAGCTGGTCGTCCTCGGCTGCACGACGAACAGATGTCTCTAACGATGTGAGATCCGATTATCGATCTGCACAGAAGTTGGTGTCATTGGGCTGACACCCCCTCCCCTCCCCAAGTGGCGAGGGACTCCAGTGAGACGTCTACCTGCTGCTGCTCTGTATTTGTATCGTGGGTGTGCCTTGTTAAGCCAAGCGAGTTTTTATTTCTGTGGGTTTGGGTCATGTGATTTCGCAATTCAAGTCGTGGCCAAAATTGATATGAAAATTCCAAATTATAAATTTATACTGACGCTTATTGCACCCTATAAAC